TTCACGCTTGTCATCTTACAATTCTCGACATGGTCGCTTTCTGCCATTCCAGCTATTCTAAGGAGACTCAGCAGGTAGCCTTCCTGCCTGGCTCTTGCATGTGTGTTAAAACTAATTGTTTAACCACCTAAATACATAACCAGGTCTAAGTCCATCTACTATTCCTTAATGTAACCTACTATTTTATAATACTCATAACTAAATAAAAATAAAAAAAAAATAAATGGAGGGCGGCATTGGACGATTATACTTCTTTTCACACTAGAGCGACCAAATACATTTCTTTGCTCTCCGACTGTCGTACGGTAGATGTCGCATGACGTCACGTATGAAAGCTAAGACTACACTTAATATTCTACTACTTGATGCGACATGAACCGTACAGACGTCGTACGGCCGATGTCACTGTGTGTGTTCCAGCCCTTAGGCATACACTGTCTTCGCTCGCTCGGATGCCGGGTTCGTGGGTTCAGATCCCACTCAGGGCAGGGATGTTTAGTGTTTGCTGTTGCGTGTGTGTGTGTGTGTGTGTATGTGTGCGTGTTTTTTCTGTGTTTTTATACAGGTAGAGGCCTTGCGAAGAGGTGATCACGCTCCCAAGGAATCCTACCGACTGTGTAACAAAAAGATTACGAAACTGAAGAACAGAGGCTAGTGCCCAACAAAGGGCTGTAAAGCCATTGATGAATGAATGAATGAATGAATGAATAATAGAGCTTTAATTATAGTGTGTCACCCTTCCTTCCTCTAGAAATGCAGCTCCTACCGCTGTACCGCTGCTTCTCATGCGTAACCCAGAGTCCAGGTCTCAATGCTCGGACTGTAATGTTATAGATATTTGTATGTTCTCTACAGCTGAGCTTCGCCTTGTTCCTGAATATCGTCAGAGTTTTGCTGGTGAAAATGAAATCCAACGTCAATCTGGAGCAGAGAAGGTGGCGCTATAGGTCTGTATATATACCATTCAATTTACAGGGTGATTCTCAATTATTGTCGCGGTGTCCGTTTATAGGCCACGGAAACACCGATAACAATTTAGACTCACTCTGTATTATTAAAAGTAGGGCCTTCATAACCACCGCTATTATTTGTTCACCACTAACATCTGAATGTACGCAGTTAGAGATAAGTAGCCTATAAGCTGCTAGCTACCAAGTCCAAGTCATATTGCGACTGATGTTCAGTCAGTCAGTAAGTCTTAGTGTTGAGCCCCATCTAGGGCTCATGACCAGATATTTATTACTGTTAAACATTACGGTTCTGATTTGTGGGACGTCCATTCTGACGAGAGGACGGGCCTGTCTTTTTTTTTTACATGCTACTGGCCCTTGTCAGCGCAGTCTTTCTCGGGTCCGAGTCCCTTGCGACTCGCGACCGTATTTTACTGTCTCAGATTTGAGACTTCGCTTTTCGTCGCCACCTACGACTCGCAGGGTCACGGTGGAGGTATTCGACCCCGCCTCCACACGGGTGTGCCGCTGCTAGCTACGAGGTACATGCTGTTGTTATATATTTTCCGTACGGACCACACAGAAAACACAGCCTCTATTCGTGTTGAAGCTTGTTTACCGCTCGGTTGTCTAGCAATAGAAATTATATTGTTTTATGCTAGTGTGTTGTGGAGATTTTTACAGGCCCGTTACCTAGCAGTAGTCTTCCAGTTGTTCGTTGTTATTCCGGCTTTTAGGCAGTGTTTACCAAGCCGTTGCTTATAAAGCGGCCCATAAGTCACAACATGAAAACTGTGCGATCTGAGAACAGTCCTCTCATCACGAAACTTCGCTCATACGAACTTCTATAACGGATCTTTTACCTTCCGTTTGGCTTGCCGTCCGAAACCGGAAACAATGTCACGTGTCTCCCAGTTAGTTCGCCTTAAGCTCTGCTTTGACGTGCACCTTGTACAAGGTTCTGCTGCTTTCTAAAACATTTTGTTCTGCTTTATATCTTATTACTTATAGCTCAGGAGTCAAGAAGCTTTGTTAAAATATTTTTATTCGTATAGCATAATAGAGCCTCCAATAATTACAGCGGGGGCACGCGGTAGCGTAGTCGGTTGAGGAACTATGCTAAAAACCTGAAGGTTGCGGGTTCGATTCCCGATGAGATAATTGGATTTTTCATTTGACCTAATCCTTCAAACAACACTATGGCCCTGGGTTCGACTCAGCCTCTGATAGAAATGAGTACCAGGAATCTTCCGGGGGGGGGGGTAAAGGGCGGACGGCAGGTGTGTAAGTTTGGCAACCTCACCGCCATCTGTGAGCCGACTGTCTAGACGTGGGAGCCTCGACGTCTCACAACCATATGGGCCTTCACGGCCTGTTACAGGGATAGCTTTACCTTTTTTATAGTTACATCATGATTTATTATGTTTCCGAGGCGTGTGTTTCGTTTCAGGTATTTTTTTTAGCTATTCGCTTTAAGAATCTGTGCTTTGCGAACTGGCTTCAGGAACGTAAATTTACCCCCACAACATCATAACTCAATCAATACGAAGACACACACATCCAGCATCACAACGCACGCAGCCAAAGGAGGACACATCACAAGACGCAGTATACACAAAATATAGGAAGAACGACTCCCATAGCGGAAGATTGATATAATACGCGAGTCTGAATTAAGACGTATAAGATGATAAATCTTAACAAATTTTAATATATATAAATTTTATTATAGTATATGAAGAATATACATTTTAAATCATTTTATAAACGACACATGATGGCGAACAGCGCAATAGTTTAACGTAAATAACACACCTGAGGATGGCACAGTGATGCCGAAACATGTAGTGAAGTGACATGTGAGATTGTGTGCACTAGAAGACGGTTAATACATACACATGGACGTAAATATTCTTACCAGTAAGTCACAGATCGTGGATAAGGATTGGTGGGCTATTACCCACAAATTCTAACGACAGCTAATTTCTGTCTTCCAGGAGATGGGCCAAATCCACTTTGATCCTGGTTCCCCTCTTTGGGGCTCACTATGTTTTCTTCATCTGGATGTCTCCCAGTCAGAAGATCAGTGAGATGCTGGAAATCGTGTGTCTCTTCTGTGATCAGATGTTCGCTTCTCTGCAGGTTCGTGCCGTTACAGAGCAGACTGGCGTATGGTGACATTCTACACTCGTATTCTGGAGGTGCTCGTTTCGAATCTCTTCCGGTACACCTATAATCCTGTCCCTGAATTTTTCTTTGTTTCCCTTAATCCCGTTCGATTCCCGGCTCTACGAGATTTTATGAGAAATAGTGGGTCTGTCCACTCAGCCTCGTGAGTATAATTGAGAAGCCATTTCAAGGAAATAGCGGCTCCGGTCTAGAAAACAGAAATTAACGGCCATGGGGATTCGTTGCGCTGACCACGCGACACCCTCTATCCGCTAAAGTTGGCACTAACTTCGAAGACAAGCGGCGGTCGCTCGGTCGGTATAGTTCGCTTGCGGACTAAGACCACGGAGTTTTATTTTTGTTTGTTTGTTTGTTTTTGTTTTCCCGTAATCCCATCAGACAAATGTTGGAGTACCTCAATTAGTCAGTGATCATTTCCTTCCAAATCTTTCCAAATTCATCTATCATCCTTCCATTCGACGCCATATAGTATTGTCAAAGAGTATGTGTGTCCATAGATGGGGTTTGGGTTAGTGAATAAATTTATTGACCACTTACAGGTCGTAACTACTAATAACTATAACACTATCGCTATATCCACACTTTACTGCTCACTACACCACATAATCTTGTGTTCTCGGTCTGTTACTAGAAGTTTCCTGGTAATGGCTCCAACAATGACTTTTCCTCTGCCTCTGGCTCAGTTTCTCTCTTCACAGATTCCCGTACAGAACTGATTATCAACGGACTTTGTCCCTTGTTTATAACATCTCTGCACGGACCACATAGAAAACGTAGCTCTTCTTTCGTTGCGTTCGTGTCTGTTGCTGGAACTTGTTTACCGAAATGTTTCCCGGAAGCAGCCCCGGTATATCGTCCCATCTCGCGGTCGTTGCATAGCAACGGCTGTACACGCTACAGTAGCTCAGGTTAAGAATGCGTAGATTTTCTTCCCGTGGCTTATTTAACGTCGCTTTATCAGTATTAATACTACATAACGTCGGGTGAAACGATGATGGGTGAATGGTGAGCTGGAAAGAAGCGATCGTTGCCTAAGAAAGGGAATATACCTGCACTTGCGTGGAGAGACTGAGGAAAACAATGAGAATCATCAGGAAAGCTGGTTTTCCGACCGCGATTCGAAATAAGTAAATACTGAGTAAAAGTCTAGAGCAGTGGCTCCCGAAGTGGGTTGTATCGCCCCATAGGGAGCGTCGATGGGTGCTGGAGTTGGCCGCTTCGAGCGCCTTGCGCGCTTCTCTGTGACAGAGGTGATTTTATACCAGACACTGGGAACCAGGCATCACTTCAGCAAGCCTATCCGTCGCATTAACAGCGAACTAGTTCCTAAATGCGGTATCTTATTGTATCGTTATCTTTCTTAGAAGGTCATGCAAACAGATATTTTGAAGAATTTTACTTACAGGGTAGGGCAGAGGACACTGGGAATGAGTTTATGAAATCAAGAGGACGGTGACCCCCTCAAATTGGGAACCACTGGCCCAGAGCGTCAGCTCTAGACTAATATGTTCCGTAAGAATATAAGGTAAATGATATAATGATATAAACTCCGTCCCAAGTGCAAACAATATATTATGTGTCCTTGATCTTGCTCCTTTACACTACATGTTTCGGCCTCAGACGGCCATCATCAGGTGTATAACACTCACGTTGCTGTCACATTGCACCCAGCCCAAAATTTAACATTTAAAAACACTTTCCTTGTTATTATCAATATCTACTTCGTGGATATCTGTCTGGTTTGTAGATTATTTTACACACGTTAATTTTGACTTTCCTGTAGTAGCACTATAAAATCTTTAGTTCTAATTTTAAAATCCTTTAAAATTTTTCTCTAAATTTTAAAATTTAAAATTGTTAGGGTTACTCGCCCTATGTCTAAAGAATATAAGGAACTGTACCTCCACTCTTCCGCGCGTCTTGATGGCGTGCTGTTTAATTGAGCGGGCCTTATTTACATACATTCATAGGCGCAATATGTCAAGAGTGCATGGCCCCGTGACTAGTAGTAACGGGTTTTGGGTTGGATTTATTAACACCTTCTGGTACAATCTCTGTCAATCACAACTAATCACAGTAACTCACAATCAATCTTCAGCCGAACCCTTCTTCCTTGGCTGCCGGGGTCTCGCTCCATTCTCGTTTTCTTTCTACGACTTACTTCTGAGTCAGAGTCAGAGTCAGAGTCAGGGTTGCTTTATGACTGGTAGTTTCCCGCCAATCAGTTCGTCTTGGCGACAAGCCCCTTGAGACTCACGACACATTAATTTTATTTTCCAACTGAACACTTGGGTTGTAGTTCTCTCTGTCGAGTGGATAAGTCTGTCCTTTAAAATTGCTGGTGGTCCTCGCTAGCACAGTCATTCTCAGGTAACTGTCCCGATCACATTTTACTGTCTCAGGTTCGAGACTCCCCCAACATGGAGGACAGAGTCCCGGTATTTATCCCCCCGGATTTACTATTAGACTACTTATATAATCTTGAGTTGGTTCCATAGAAAATACATCCGTTGCCTAGCAATGAATATATATGCGAACCATATAGAAAACAGATCTTCAATCTATTTTTGTATTGTATTTCATACCAACGGAAGTTATCATATTATTTTCTGCATATTCGTTATAGTAGGAATTTTTTACCTAGTCGTTGCCCAGCAACGGGTCTAATTTCGCAATACTTACACATAAACAATTCTAGTAGGACAAATGGGTAATATTGATTCAGGGATATTCTTCTGTTTCAGGGATTCTTTGTATCGCTACTGTACTGTCTCCTGAACTCGGAAGTTCGGGCCGAGGTTGTTCGCAAGTGGATGTCGTATAGATATCACAGGGATCAGCCCACGAGAGGTTCAGCTCAGAGTCTGCCTGTTGGTCTTAACTCGATGCTCACCGTGTCCAGAGCGTACAATGGCAGATGGGGCCGGGTGAGTCTCTGAACTCTGCTTCAAGAAACGTGGCCCAAGAGGAAAACGGACAAGATATTCTTTCTGTTTCAGAATTCCTACATGATCAGAGAGCTGATATGAATCCAGGCATACTCCCATCTCTTTCACACGGCCATTACTATGATGTAGCCCTCGATATGGATACAAAGTAATATAACTGTACATAAAAATACGTGTTTTTTTAACTGACAAACTAACTCCATATAGGCAAATCCTTCTTAACAAGACATCACATGCTCAGCTAATCAATAATTTCACAAAATTGGTGTTTTTTGCATCAAAAATCATGAACGCAACAGAATCAGAACATAAATGATGTCTTCTTGAGCTCTAACATTGAAGACTGAAGACTTCATGTATAGAAAATGGCTGTGTTTCGCAGAAGCACATCTGCAGTCAGCGACAGAATCAGTCCACAAAGAATGTCTTTGGATTAAAACAGGTAACTGAGAATCCAACATGCATTTAAAATGGGTTTGTATCGCATTGTATTAACGGTTTCAAGAACAAAGTTAAGTATTGTTCTATTATGGATATTGCTGGCCAATGCACACTCGGCAGCTCTATCCCCGAGGCTACCTGGTCAATGATCGCTCGGTAGCCCTGACTTTTGCCCAACCCCAACAACTATCTTGCCCGCTCTCTGCTTCCTGCTCGCCTGGCCTTTCTACCTGATCTCTACAGACCCTACCCCTCTCCTCTTTATTGATTTCCCATGTGGCCCACTATTCCTCCCTCTCTCCATCTGTTCTTATATAGCTGGGTGTTTTCGACTGGGGGCTCAGTCTGCAGCCACCTGCTCACGCTGGTTCCTCATTAGCGGATTTCTCTACACTGAAGATGGAGGAGATATTCACATAAGATCTACACGGCACCACATTCTAGAAAATGGCATTCTTCATTTTCCCCTTTGTTTAATCCCAGCAAGTTCATGGTTCCAGTTATGACATTAACGTATTACCTGTATTGTTTTAATATCTTGTATTTAACTTTGAGCGTAGTTGAGGGTGTAGCATTTATTGCGTATACCTCCAGTGCTCGCCTCTTACAGACCACTCGCTGTAGGCAAGCACTTAAATAAAGGGACTGAATTTAATTGAAGTATTAGTAAATAACAAACTTGAGCGCATTGAGGAAAAGTTCCAGACATTTTTTTACAATATTCTTTTTAAGAAATCCAGCATCACTATTTTAATTTCTCGAAAATAAAATAAATTTGCAGATGCTACATGTCACACGTCGTCACTCTGATGCTGCAGGTCGCCCCTTTGTCCTTGAAGCAATCGTGTTCCTACACGGCACATACGTAACTTTACAATGTTCAGTTGCTTCTGCAGTCACTGCCCTTCAGCTAGAAGCATTTCTCTTGCTGATGAAGTTCATAAACCTACAGATATTTTCGATAACTCACGCTTAAATATAAACAACATTAACTAATCAAGCTTTCTTTGTTTTTTTTATTTGTCCTTGTGTATATCTTATTGCTGCTGCTGTTGTTTGTATTCGTCCTGACTCTGTGATTGGCCATGGGCTGTTGAGCGCAACATGTAAACAAATAAAGAACTGAATTGAATTATTCATGATAAACTATTATATTTATGTGAAATTTAGCCCATGTTTTATATATGATAAAACAGGTATAAAATATACAGTGTGTTTTATTTTTATCGCGCTACTCGGCACCGTGAAGCAGAAAGAATCGCCGGTAACAATGCTGCAATAATGCCGTCTGCTCTTTGGGTCTTAGTACTGCGATAGAAAAAAGAATTACCCTGTGAATTTACAGTATAAGGTTGTGATACTTTGAGTTGAACGCGTTTCTCTTATAAATTACGCTGAATGTATTCGATCTATAGTTCAGTTTATGTCCTCAATAAATTTTTCAAACAATGATTGTGGGAAAAACCTTTTATAAGAAATTTATAAATTATATGTATAGCCTACGGTTTGCTACATTTCGGCCACGTGCAATACTGAAGTGTTAATAACTACAGTGTCCAGTCATATGGTGAGGCACAGTATGATATTAAAATGGAAAACATGACAGACATCTCCGGTTGTTCGGTCTTTAGCCTAGTAACTGTACTAATTGAGTTATCTAGGCCGCGCCATAGCTCGAGAGGTTAGTCGCTGGCTTTCCACCGCGGCGGCCCGGGTTCGATCCCGGCTCTGATCAAGTGGGATTTGTGGTGGACAAAGTGGGGCTGAGGCGGGTTTTCTCCGAGTACTTCGGTTTCCCCTGCCAATCTTCATTCCACCAATTGCTCCACAATCACTCTCACCTATCATCTGGGGCTGGTACAATAGGCCAGAAGTGGCCGCAGTACAAGGGACTTAGTCCCACCCCACTAGCAATAAAAAAAAATCCTCTATCATTCTTACAATAAGAGATTTATGGGAAAATTGAATTAAATTTGAGCTTCCTGTGTAACTGGATAAGAAATTTAAAGTAAATTTGCTCAATACCATTCTCTTGGAAACCGATGAATGGCTTAGGAATTTAACCATTACGATTGAGATGCACTTGTAAAGTAGTGCACACTCACCTGGTGCTCTGCAATGCATAGAATACTTAATAAACACGTAATATGACGCCATACTCTTATGTAAATGTTGACAGAATCACAGATTACAGTATTCAGAGGACCACGGAAGGAGGGAATAGAGGCAGGTCACGGTCACAAATAACAATCATGAAGCGTGCGTGATGCATTGAGAATTCAACTCGTTTCCGCTGATTCCGATAAGAAGACAGTATCCGTAAATTAATGCTGTGATTAAAATGCAATAGATTCAAACCGCAAGTCATAACAACTTCCGGTATTCTACAGATTCAGTCGTTCATTAAATCTACTGTCTTAACACATCTTATGAACGATATATCGTTTTAAAATATGACATTATTCGTTGTCTGTATCACAAAACAAAAAACAAACTCCGTGGTTTTAGTCTGTAAGCGAAATATACCGGCCGAGCGACCGCCCCTTGTCGGCGAAATTAATGCCAGCGTTAGCGGATAGAGGGTATCGAGTGGTCAGCGCAACGAATCCCCACGGCCGTTAATTTCGGTTCTCTAGACCGGAGCCGCTACATTTCCATTCAAGTTGCTCCTCAACTATCCTCACGAGGCCGAATGTACCCTATTTCAGACCCACCACTGCTCTGAAAAATCTGGTAGCGCCGGGAATCGAACTCGGACCTCTGGATATGGAGCCAGGAACTGTGACCACTGGACCACAGAGGCGGTCATGTGGGTCATGTGTGTATCACTGTCTCTGAAATTAATTGTGACCTGCCATCTCTTGACAGGTTGCGATACTATTTGCAGAATATCGATAAGTAAACTCTTACATTACTGTCTTCGCTCGCTTGGAAACCGGGATCGTAGATTCGAATCCCACTCAGGGCATGGATGTACTTGTAACCCTTATTCCGTTCCTTCGATTACGAGGTTCTAACTTAAGCAACTTAAACAGATTTTCTGCTCTCCTCATTCAAGAGAATTCCTTAGGGGCGGCGGCCATGACCTTGAGTCACTTGACCACTCTAATATCAGATTAAAACCTTCCTTGAATAATTACAACTTGAAATAGACAGAGACACAAATATTCTAGAATTCAATTAGAGTAATATCTGAAACAAATACTAGATTCCTAGTGCAGTATGAGATAATAATGTATTATTTGTGGCTTGAGAGCACAGTAGAATAGTAGTGGTCGTTCTAGTAAACATAACATTCGGAAGTGTTGTAACATCTGTATATAAATATGTTCCAAGGCTAGATGACCTGTATATAGGCAAAGTTGTGGAACACAAATCATCCTACGAAGTAGCAACATGGAGACTACATTCTCTATCACTGTCGCCATCTTGCTTCTGGGATCTGCATGTATTTCAGCAGTAAGTTTTCTGCGTCGCGTGTTATAGGTGCAGAACTTGATGTTGCAACTAATGTATATTCTATAATATGGTTATTTAACGACGCTGTTTATAGTGAGAGTGTACAACGTTGGATTGTATGATGATTAATGAATATGGAGCAGTTTGTGGAAAGAGAACTGGAAAGGGAAACAGTAGTACTTAGAGAAAAACAAAGGCCCAATACCAATTTTTCCACCAGAAATCCCACATAATAGTATATAAATAAAGCAAGGCTGGAAGACTATTATTGAATGTAATCACTTACAGTTCAACTCCACAATTTAATATTAAAAAACCCAAGAAGAAATTTTATTTCATCAGAAATGTTCTTTTCTGAGGGGCAAATAATATATGGGACTAAGGCCTTAAGAACCAAAAGACTATGTAGTATAGGTATAATGCCAACAGATGTCACATGTTGTTAGATATAGAAATTTTTGTTATAAAGTCGACATATTCGACAGCTGGCATTTCTAGGGGTAAAAAATCATGAAACGTGACCAAAAAGTAAAAAATTTGATCCGTTCTTTGTGGGATTGTCTCTAAATTTTAAGTTTATGAATATTAACCTCTGATGCTCTATTACAAACAATGATCAAATCCAGTTCAATAGTTCTCCAACCACGAACTAACAAAATACATAAAATCATTCATGTTTCATTATATTTGTGGAAGGAATGTGTTTGGTATAAAGTATGTAATTTATTCTTCTAAACATATTTCATTTGAAACATTTATCACTGTGACGCATGACTCCTCAGATGAACTGATAAATGTACAAGGGCATTCATGAAAACTTCTAATTGTTAGCAGGCTTAAACAAAATTTAATACATATCGACAAATTTTGATAACCTCACCAATACCAAATTATATGTAACTCCGTCCAGATATTCTCGTGTTGTTACAAGCGGATTGACTGACAGACAAGTCGAAGAAAACAAGTCACATTTTTTGCAATCTCGAACACGCCAGAAGTAGGGTAACCTAGCGGCATATCACCCATGTCAAATTTCTTAAAATTGATCATATAAATAGAAAATAATGAAGAAAGACAAATATGGACGACACATGCTTACTGAAAGGACCGTAGACTCGAAGCAATAAAGCAACTTACGGCCGGGTACGATTAGATTACATTTAATCTGTTAATCCCCAAATATATTGTCACAATATGTGTGACTATAGACGGGGTTTGGATAGACGAATGTATTTATTGAACACTTAACCACACGACTCGTAAGTACAAGCAATTACAGGGCCATCGCTAATCTCCACAATTCACAAATCATCACAGCATCCACTAAGCCTTTTCCAACTTTCTTGTCATCACCAGCCGTTCCCTGACAACGGTTCCTAACAGTGGAGATTCTTCAGTTTCACGCGATCTGCCTCCAGTGCAGAACTCAATTCTCAACTGACTTCATCCCTTGCTTATAACACCTAGGCACGGACTACCTAGAAAACACATCTCTCCTATTGTTGCGATAGTGTTCGTTGCCACAGAAAGGTGTTTACCGAGCCGTTGCCCAAAAATTAATGTTGGTTCAGAGCCCTTCGCTAGCAACGGCTGTTTCTCTGGCGCCGCAGTTCTTCATTTGAGCAATTGCGTCATAGTGTTATAATGACGCAACTGTTAACTTTTTTGTTTTGTGATTTTTTTTATCAGGAATTTTCAGGAAGGGCCATGGAAAGAGCCAAAGAGATCGATTCGAAATGCAGAGCGGAAATTGGTGCCGATAAAGGTGAGTTCATAAGAACATGAGCCGATCCCCATATCAGGAACTGGAAGAGCCAGGCAGTGATCACTGTCAGCCAATGCTAATACTAAATAAAACATTATCAAGTCGGACTCCGAGTAAGGTTAAGACCGACGGTCAGTCAGTCTTGGTATATATTTTCAAAGACAGGCAACGTAATTGGACAGGAAACATAACACAGCAAGAAGGAATACACACATGCGAACTAGGGGGGAAAAAAGTCAACAACAAAACATTAACGCAGAAAAACATCAGTTTCCTCCAATTCGGTCGAAACGTCGTGAAAACTTTTAAAGTTACTAGCTTTTATTAAGTGTTGCTGCACATAAGACTATAGAATTAATTGAAAACACTAATATATTGTCATCTGTTTGGGGGGGGGCGTTAATATTAAACAGGTTTTGGATTGGATGATTGGATTTATTGAATTTGTACATTCAACTCTTAACCACAATTAATCATAGCGTTATCGCTATTTACACACTTTACAGTTCACTGCTACACACGCTAGTGTCCTCAGCCTATCACGGTTCCACTATCCGTTCCCAGGCAATGGATTTTAACACAGAAACTATAACATTCTCACTGAATTACACACTTCAAATATCACAGTGCTATAGCTCTTTACAGCCAGACTTTCAACTCCACTGATAGTGAAAACACTGTCAAGGCGTAGCCATTGTTGAGATCCGTTACCTAGCAACGACTACTGCAAGCAGATAGAGAAGGCTTTATTCTGCGTGCTGTAATTACGGTTATCTTAAGAGCGTTATAATTAATTGTAGTTACGACCAGTGAATATTCAATAAATCGATTCACCAATCCAAACCCGCGTCTTAGTCACTGAAACACGTGACAATATAGTAAACATAGTGCTTTAAAGAACTAAACTCACTTGAAGTTTATTTATTTCTGTCAGGGAGTCTTAACCTAGAGTTGGTCTGTATTGGTCCAGGCGGGTATGTACAGATGGTAACTATTACCGTTCTCTGGGATGTGACGTAATGTCTGCCTGTCTGCACACGGATACCAGCAGGTAGGAGAGAACTCTTGCCTCCATCTTCAAAATATATATAAATATAAGTATATATATTGAACATGAAGACAGCATGTTCCTCTGCAACATTAGAAGCCATCTACCAAACTACACGACGTCACATTGGGAACCTCAAATTTCAAGCGTGCAGATATTATTAACAGGGCCAGATAACTAAGTTCCATAAAGCACTATAATTATTTATTCAAAATAATCAGAAATGGTTTGTTTTGAGCCAACACATTTCTTTCAGGGTATGTCACTAAATTTCTCAGAGGTGAGATAGAAGCTGACGACATGGACAGATACAAGGTAAGACATTTAACGTCTTTTCTTTTCTCGCTAGACGTAACAGCCTTGCGTCATTGCAAAGTGTGTGGTTAATTTAAATCCACCCTTAACATTTAACAGAAAGAGCAGATTAGCAGGCCATGTACTATTTTTGAGAGCAAATAGGAATGTACATTGAGTTTTAGTGGGAAATGTAGAAGGAAAGAGCCAATTAGGATGATCTAGACGGTGATGGATCTTAGGTAAACAGAATGCGGCGGACTGGATTCATGTGGCTCAGAACAGGGACAATTGGAGAGCTCTTGAGAACACGGCAATGAACTTTCAGCTCCGTAAATTTTTGGAGATTTGTTGAGAAGCTGAGTGACTGGCAGCTTCGCAAGATGGTCTCGGCTCAATAGATTTCGTTAAAGTTTTTGCGCTTTATCAAAGTGAAGCAAGGAGAATGTTGCCAGAAATGACAAGGGATGTTTCTGTAAATCGTATGGATGAAAAAGAGTTTAAAGGCATAGCGCAACAGATTGTTCTGAGCGTACTTAGATTAAAAATGTAAGAATCCCACGAAATGTACTGTATTTTTGAGATCGAAACAACTGAAACCGTAGGGATACTGGGAGTTTCGATTCTGAAATTATCTCTAATGAGAGGAGTAGGGCCTACTATCTCATGAGATATGAACCCTTATACATACTTACTTACTCATGGAGCTGAGCCCTTCTTGAAGAGAAGCCAGATCTGCAGCTACTCAAGAATTTCCCAGCATTTTATGGAACCCGAAGGTTTATTACCGTGTTCACAAGAGCCCTCCACTGGTCCCTATCCTGAGCCAGATCTATCCAATCCATACCATCCCATCCTATCTCTCTAAGATCATTTCTAATATTGTCCACCCACCCACCCCTTGGTCTTCCCAGTGGTCTCTTTCCTTCTGGCTTTCCCACCAATATCCTACATGCAGTCCTTGTCTCCTCGTGCTACATGCCCTGTCCACATCATCCTCCTTGACTTGATATGAACCCTTATAGACTGATAAAATTTTACAGACGTTTCGGTGGAACATACTGTCTTCATCTTTATATGTAAATGGCAAACCGTAACAAGCTACTTCTTAATTGTTTGCACGGCTTAATATTCCTCCCTGAAGATGGTAGCAATACTGTCGCCCTAAAACATGCTCATTATTCTTCATTTTCACGGTTACACTTCAACCCTGATCACAGAAGCAGTATATTTCTCCGAAATTACGATAAATATCTACCAGGCTGTATGGAGTCATACCTAGCGAAACGAAGTGTTGACAATGTTCTAGATCCATGTTCAAGAGATCCTCGTTTCGAATCATGGCCGTAAACCTGGCTAACATAAATTTTGGTTTTCCTCAGTGACTCCAGCAAATACCAGGATAATACTGTACTTGCATTAGACCATATGCTATTCCTAATAAATCCCTTCCCATTCATAGATCACATATCATCCATATGTCCGACATTACTGCTTGTCCAAATTTATTTTTTTTATTGCTAGTGGGGTGGGACTAAGTCCCTTGTACTGCGGCCACTTCTGGCCTATTGTACCAGCCCCAGATGATAGGTGAGGGTGATTGTGGAGCAGTTAGTGGAATGAAGATTGGCATGAGAAACCGAAATACTCGGAGAAAACCTGCCCCAGCGCCACTTTGTCCATCACAAATCCCACTTGACCAGACCCGGGATCGAACCCGGGCCGCCGCGGTGCGAAGCCAGCTACTATACGCTTACGCTATGGCGCGGCCTATCTAAATGTAAGTAACTCGCAGAGAAGCAGATTCCAGAAGATAGGAATTTTCTTGGTGATTTTTAACTAAGTGGGCGGTAGAATTTCGCGTTGTTTCTGGTGGAATTTGTGCTTACTAGGGCCCTGCATTTCTTCAATGCCGTTCTACTGAGAAGCACAGAGACACAACCTTCTTTAAGTTCAGTAAATTCCTACGGATTTGCAACACACCTGGCCTTCGGCTAGTTTTATAGGACGACGTGATTGCTACATCGATCCGAGAATTTCAACATTGCAGACATCTGTGTACGTTAGAGCGTGCTGGACTGTTTCTCTACAGGTGTGTACAAACACACTTTGCACATCCATTCAAACTGTCGTTATCATCTTCAATTCATATTACAGACAACCGAGATTGCGAAACCGATCTCTATACAGAATTGCGGGATTTATATTTATACATAAATTTCGCTTCAACGCGAATTTATTTGCATTTTTATACCAACCTGATTAAGTGGATATTTCTACAATATTCTCTCTCTCTCATTCCTTTCCGATTTACACTTCTGGAGATGAAGCTCTGTATATCCTCGTACAAGACCAAGAAATTTCCCGAGATTTAAATCGATACAAGAGTTTTCCGAGTTATTTTATTTCTTGGATAAATTTCATGGAATTTCAGACACGTACTGGGTTTCAGTGCATAATATCGGGTTTCATAATTTGTACTCTTCGCGGAATATAATGAGATGGACAGAACACGTAGCACTCATGGCGAAAGGAGGAATACATACAGGGTTTTGGTGGAACAACCGGAAGGAAAGAGAATATGTAGACGTAGGTGTGAGGATAATATTAAAAGGGATCACAGAGAGATCGGATGGGGCAGTATAGACTGGATTCATCGGGATTAGGATAGGGACCAATGGTGGGTTTTTTAACGGTAATGAACCTTCCGGTTCCATTAAATTTTGAGAAATTCTTTAGTCACTTCTTAAATGGTGACTCATCTCCGTGGAGTTAGTTACTGGGTTTCAGACCTTAATTCTCCATGGCAGTGACTAACAAGTTTTCGTCGATAATTAAACATAACGACTTGTTAATAATCATGTTAGTGATAAACTAATCACGAATTATATTCATGTAAAACACTTGCATGAAGAGTGTTGTATTGTGGAGTGTAACGTCTGATTGCACAGTGTTATGCCCCACGAGACAACACTCTTCACATCCACCGATGTCGAAGTCTGATTTCCAACTTACGTATGTATTTTTATTGTTTCCAGTGCTTCCTGAAATGTTTGATGATGGGACTCAGCTCAGTAAGTCTTCTACGTTTAAAAGTCTTTTTTCTTAATTATATATATATTGTCACGTATGAGGGGTTGCGTGACTAATAGTATGGGTTCTGGATTCGATGATTGGATTTATTGGCACGTCTTTTCAATTACAGTCAATTATAACAGCTCACGATAAATAATTGCCTAAGACTCGCTCCATTCCTTACTAGACTACTCGTGTCTTCACTTCCAAGGTGACGTAAGACGAATAACGAATCACTGCTCACACATGGATTCATACTGCATGAATTACTGAGCAAAACTCTGTGTACAAATATTAAGTTTCTGAACATTATACATGGTCCTGTTTTTATTTAAACACAATGTTTCAGCGACTGGATTCTGTCTCCTTCTTCAGGTAAAACCGTACTCAGTTGGCCCAATCGATAAAGCTAGTCCTTATCTCCGGACATCCGTACCAACACCAGATAGGGTACACAAGCCAAGTTCAGCACAACCCATCTGAGAGAGCTAAGACAAAATATAAAATATTAGATACTCCACACGCATGAGGCCTTTCACCAGAGAACTATCAGAATAGACATTATTACTGGAGAGACAAATTCCCTGTATGGTACTCATCTCTACTATTCCTCATTATACAGCCCCGGCACGGACCACACAGAAAACATCGCTTCAATTATTGCGTGTTCTATAGTTTCCGGGGAAACAATATGTCCACACAGCTGTTCCATAGGAATGGCTGTTGTACTGCCGCTTGTTTACACAGCCATTTCTTGGCAACGGGTCTACATGTCACAATTTATAATCGTATGCATAGCTGTTGTATATAGCAAAGAATAAGTATGATAAATCATAATTTTCTATACAAAATCTGGACTTTTAACATCTTATGTATATTCAAAATATTATTAGCATGTCCTGGGGTACATGTAAGGTTGTTAATATGCTGCATTGTGTCTGACAATGACTGAGACTTGTGACAAGCTACACACCATAGATAATATACATATATATCTGTAAATGTTAAAAATTTGTATACTTGACAATTATCAGACCCGCCATCTTGTCAGGAAGGACGGCCCACAGCAACAAATCCATAAAAGTTTAGGCGCAAACCCTGTGTATCTATGTGTTTCTGGTTTTGCATTATTAGTGTGTATATGTATGTAAATATTTAGGCCTATGTGTTGTGCATATATGTATGCAATTGAGTTCGTTTGTAGGTATGTACGTAGGTGTTTCTCTTTGTACATATTTCAGTGGTATGTGTATAAGCTTATATAGATGTGTACATTCATGCGTGTAGGCATATATTCATGCATGCTTTTATATATTTTAGTAATACAGATAAAAAAGTAAAAAGTAAAGCTATCCCTGTAACAGGCCGTGGAGGCCTACAGAGTTGTGAGACGTTGAGGGTCCCACATTATCTAGACAATCGGCTCAAAGATGGCGGTAAGGTTGCGGGTTCAAATCCCGATGAGGTCATTTTATTTTTTTTTCAATTGACCTCATCCTTCCGGCCGCACTATGGCCCTGGGGTCTATTCAGCCTCTAACAGAAATGAGTACCAGTAATTAATACAGATATATGCATATATTTAAACGTGAATCATGTCATCAGCTCTCCCACGACGGAGTCTACGACATTGACGAGGAGAAAGAGAATATACCGCCAGAGATCCTTGATGAAGGTCACAGAATCCTCGCGAAATGCAAAGACACAAGTAAGTTGCCTACGAACTGGACACAACATTCCAAATGTCTGACCCATGTAATTGCCTGTTAAAATGCGATAAAGCTGTGGGTATTCAGTACTCAGTATTGACAGAGGGAGGATATTCTAGTCGCGGAACTTTAAAAATATTTTAATGTTATGTGCATTAAAATTCAAAATCTACTTTCATTTTCTTTTTCAGAGGGCTCTGATCCATGCGATACGGCGTACCAGATCCACAAATGTTACCATGATGAGAATCCGGAAGTAAGCACGATAAAATCAGATAAGCATATGATTACAAATTTGTAAGTTGTATTAAACTTTCATTGAAAACAGAAGCATGTAAAAGTAACTCTTAGTATTAATGACGTGTCTGCCTGCCCGGAAGTAGAATAAATTAATTAACAAAAGTATCATATCTTCCGAAGCTGTCAGTGCCGAATGGCAGGAAGAGTAGTGAAAAATGAATTGGAAAATGTCTGGAAGAATGCAGCCATGGTCAAATCCAGGGAATTGCTTAGAGAGACTGAGGAAAACCACGAAAGATATCAGCCAAACTGGTTGGGATTCGTACCGAGCACAGTGTAAAAATAAGGATGCGTTCGCCGTATTACTCAATTACATCGAAAACCGTAAGATCTTCAGAATAGATCATAAAATACATGTGTTCACTTTAGTCTACAACTTCTGTTCAAAAACGTTTTTCTCGTTGAAAAATATGTAGGGATTTACATTCGAAATGCATGTCTTCTGATGAAGAATCTCTTATTGCCTGTGGATGTGTGTGTACATATGGTTGTGTTCGTGTGTGTTTATGTTTGTGTGCTTGTGTTGGTGTGTTTTTGTGATATTTGTTATTTTGTGTGTGTTTATGTTTGCTGTGTGTTTGTGTGTTAAATTTGCGGTGGACAAATTGGCACTGGGGCAGATTTCTCCGATTACTCATGTTTCCCTGTCAATCCTCATTCCACCAACTGCTCCATAGTCATCAATCAGCATAGTATCATCGATGATACATTGATTTCAGTACTTTCTTACGAAAAGAAAAAATGTGTGTCTGTATTTGGACTTTTGAGTATGTATATATGTGAAGGGAGAGGGTTAAAGATACGTCAGATTTTGAGACTATTGCTATTTATATACAAATTAGATCAGAAAAAAAAATCCAAAATATTTTGAAGTTAAAAATCCTGCACAAATCTTGACCGACACGTCATACTTATACTTTTGTGACAGCAATGAGGTATCAGTACAATATATTACTAAACGTTTTGAATGTAATGGAACGTGAAGGGATGTAAAAATAATTGCCTGTGAAGGGAGTCAACGAGACCTTAAATACGTTGCCTGTTAATGCTGACAAATCTAAAATAACAGGAATATAAAAAGTTTAGTAATTTTTTTCAATAATGTATTCCTTTAGGAGTTCCCAGTTTGTTATATGCGGACAGAAAGAGGCAAATATATGGAGAAAATAATAGGCATAATTTTTCAAATTTCTTTGCACAAGCTCATCTGTAAAAATCAATCGCCTTTAACTGAATGATAGATTTATGTTACTTTTGTGATTAAGGTAAGGTGTATAGCTATAGAGCTAAAAGAATTTTCATTAAACGTGTTTTTGTCATTTCAGTTATACAGAAAGGTTCTGCACCACTGGGAAGGTATTGCTTCTGCTTAATGGTAAGTTCAATTACCTTGTGTCTAATCTTTATGTAATAAGTCGTAAGATTTGTCGGTTCGCCTTTTCCATGGAAACAACAGCCAAAACAAATCTCAGATACGATAATCCCATAAAAAAGAAGGAATAAATTTTGCCTGCATCACAGATCCGATCTTGGGCCCGAAACCAATATACATAGATATTATATACGTAATTGTTATTATTATGCAAATTATATAAATGGCTGGTTTCTTATTTTTTGTTTATTTTCTTTACTCATGCTCACTTTTTAATTGTCATTTGTGTTAAGTTAGCATGCAAACAAATAATAATAATAATGAAATTTAATCCTTGTTTATTTGTTACCAACTCAACAGCCCAAAGGCCAATTATAAAGTAAGCACCAGTGAAGGAAACAAACAAACACATCTCTCTATATATGGCTCTACTGTCCTTTTGATGGACTTTGGCCACTTTTTCAGTTTCTTAATCCTATACACAGAGGGTATGACTCCTCTGACGGGGGATCAGCCCTTCGCAAGGCCACTGCCTACATATAGAACAACACAAACACAGACTAAACGCATACACAGACAACCATGTCTTTGAGTGGGACTCGAACCAACAATCCCAGCGTTCGAGTGAGCGAAGACAGTTCATACCATAGACCGCAAAACAAACACATACAAAGAATAATACAAGGCAATTTAATAATTATAATAATATTAGTGTTAATATTATTGTACTAATCCGCCTTTACGGAAGTTTTCAAGTTCATGTAGTGCATATTCAGTGAACTGGTGATTTCAAAATGTCTCCAAAGGCAATAATGTTTATTGTCTGTCTGAACCATCTCTGAGGTGACGTCATATCTTGAGTATAAAATCTTATGGAACAGGAGTCCTCTGTATTCAACGAGACTTCCGGTACAGTCAATTTGACTGCAATTGCATATGAAAAATAAAATGCAGTAACTTTCTATTATTGATATAAGTATCTAGATCAATATTTCGTTTCTAAGGACATACACTCAAAGATGTTTTAGACAGAGTTTAGTAAGTTAACAGAAAACAACATTCCTCTTCATTGAAGGAGACAAGATACAAATTACTTATGAAACGATAATTGGTTTCAGTTATCATTCTTAGTATCACCGCCACTGTCATATTCATCACAGATCCTATATCCTACAAATGTCCCCAACGAAAATTACCATGACTTCCAGGCAAATGACGGGACTGAGTAAACTGCATAATGAGGAGCTTCATAACTTGTACTCTTCTCCAAGTTTAATTAGAATGATCAAGTCAAGGAGGATGAGGTAGGAAGGCTATGTAGAACGAATGGGAGAGAAGAGGAATTCATGTAGGATATTGGTGGGAAAGCCAGATAGAAAGAGACCACTGGGAAGACCAAGGCGTAGGTGGGTGGACAATAATAAAATGGATATTAGAGAGATAGGATGGGATGGTATGGATTGGATTGAGCTGCCTCAGGATAGGAACCAGTGGAGAGATCTTGTAAACACGGTACTGAACCTTCGGGTTCTGTAAAATGTTGGGAATATCTTGAGTAGCTGCAGAATTGGAAGCTTTTCAAGAAGGGCTCGGCTCCATGAGTGAGTGAACTTGTTTACTCTGCATGTGTTCTATCTTTACAGACACATCGTGACAAGACATCAGGATCTAAGCTACCTATGATGACGACCGAATGATTGGCTAATATACTTTAACACTCTTCCATCGAAGATTTTAAGCTTTTGACGTACATTCATTACTCATCGTAAGTACTGAAATTATATTCTTTTAGGGTCACGTATAGCACGATTTTGATTGAAATAAATCAATTGAGAAACCTAGAAGTAGATGGAAGTATAATATTATATAGAAAAATGAAAAATTAATTAAGGTCAACTCATGTTTCATGTAAAGTATACAAGTATATAATATATAAATCTCCATTTTACATGATACAAGTTAAATAATTAATTGATAATTAGTATTTTACTAAATAACATTATAAATTTTTACTGTCACTGATTATTCGATTATTCAAGTTCTTGTATACATTACTTAACTAAAAACAAAGCATTATGCAGGATAAATTCATTTATATCCTTCGTCATATTTCGTTAAATTTATGAATCTAATTAGTGTTTCAGAAATCGATTCGTTTCCGAGCTGCAACTTCGAGATATATCGACACTAACAGAGCACAACGAATATATCGACTGCTGCAGTTTATTCATTCTGTATTCGCTCCGTATGCACATAATAAACCCATTTATTGGCAGGGAATATACAATGCTTCCTTTCCAAGTTGCTGTACTACCAACGAAGAGAAGGCGAGGCAAGTAAAGGACAGAAATTACTGATCTTGACCATTGTATTGTTTACTTAGAAATACTTTAAGTTTCATTGAACCAACAACAACGGCGAGAGTCGACGTAAAATCATGTAGACATTTTCTACTTGTACAAAAACAGGGGTGTACCTTGATAAATGCCTCTCCTTGTCCTCGTTGCAGGACAGTAATTTTACTTCATTTCAAGGTACAGGCTGTTAAGAAACCCAAAACGATTGACTTACAAGCCACTTCCTGTTTCGTAAAATAAAAATTTTAAATATTATGCTCGAAATCCATAAGATCAACTCCTTCCAAATCCTCACTTATTTACCCTTCATAATGATCTTCATCAAATATAATGTAGATTGGTCAGAATTCTTGCTTCGTATTTTGGAGGTTTAAGGTTCTAATCCCGGCCTTGAGACAGGCTGCCTTCGCTCAAGAATTTTGTTGTGCACTTTCATGGTTTTCTTCAGTCCCTCCAGAAAAGTGCCCGGCTGATGCTTCAGATTAAGCCATGACCGTTTGCTTCTACGTCCTTTAAATTTACTCCTCACTAATCATCTTATAATTCCACGTCCTGTACGCCGAACTACTGATAAAATATTTAAACAAATAAATAAATAATAGCCTTCCCATCTCAGTCAACGTTGCTAAATCTATGGCGTTGAAACAACGACATCTAAGTAAGTAAGTATTCGTGGTTAGGAGATAGTGGCGGAAGGAAGTGCTAGAGAGTAAGGGAGACCAAGGGAGACACAATCCTGTGGCATGAAATCACTGGGCCTAACAACCGGAAGTGACTTACCATTGGTTAGGATCCATGCTTTATATTCGGGAGATCCCGAACTCGAATCTCATTCCGGAGATCTATAATCCTTCCTGAAGTTACATTTCCCGGAGATTTCCCATTCTGATTGAAAAAGAACTTCCCGGAAAGTGGCTTCATGATTAATGTTATAAATCTCAAACGATTGTTTATCCTGATTGAATTTATATTTCCCCAAGACTGGCAATCCTGACTGATTCATATGTCCAGGAAATTGGCTCTCCTGAGTGATATTTCTAGGAAGTTGACCAGCCTGACTGAGTCATATGTCCAGGAAATTGGCCATTCTGATTGAGCCACATTTCCAGGAAATTGGCCATCTTGATTGAATTATATTCCAAGGAAATTGGCCCTCTCGACTCAGTCATATGCCCAGGATATTAGCCCTCCTGACTCAGTCATATGCCGAGGAAATTGGCCCTCCTGACTCAGTCATATGGCCAGGAAATTGGCCCTCCTGATTCAGTCATATGCCCAGGAACTTGGCCCTCCTGACTGAGTCATATATCCAGGTAACTAGCCATTATGATTGAGTCGTATATCCTTGAGATCAGATCTGATCAGTGTTATATTCCCTGGAGATTTACCATCTCAATTTATGTTACACTACGTATTTACTAGAGATTAGCTCTGTTGATTTAAGTTATATTTCCCGGAGACTGGGTATGGAAATTGGTCACTATATTTTTCGAAGACGTTCTCTCCTGACTTCAGTTACAGTCCGGGAGATCAGGAACCCTAACTGATGTTATACATCCGAGAGATTGGCTATACTGATTGATGTATTTTCCAGAGATCATTTGTCTTGATTTAAGCGGTCCTTCCCAGGCACAGGATCTCTAGATTCAATTTCATCTTAGTCATTTTCCTAACCCCTCAAGTCAGGTCCTCTATTATAACTTAATAACATGCTATGGAAGCTCTCCTTTCGTAGTCTTTCAAACGAAATATTCGCAACCACCTTACCGCCTTTTATTTGTCATTAAACGCTTTAAGCTTTCGAAAGAACTTACTTCAAGATCGCCAGAACCAATCAAATAGAAATAACTTGGATCCGAGCTTGGGCTCAATAGGAAAGAAAGTATTGTTGTGTTAGTTCAAAAATTAACCAGGAGTCCTTGCGGGACGGGAAATTATGTAACAGCAGTTGTGCAGAATGAGAGGACTACATGAGAATCAACTTAAATCATAGAGTTTAACAGTCAATTTGTAGCTAATATTATTCTCAACACATTAGAGAATTCGCATTAAGGAATTATCCAGAGGAAACACACTTGAGAGAAAGCAATAATTAATAGGGAAAATGTGAAGGAAGACAAAACAACAGGGGCCTACACATCAAAGAAAATTGATATTGTTACATGACGCCTGATTTTCTAGAAAATATTGGAGCCTCGACGCCTCACAACACTATGGCCCTCCACGGCTCGCTACAGGGCTAGATTTACCTTTTACGTTTTTACTTTTACCTAAAGAGGATCTATATTAATCTGGGAGTTCTAAATTTGGATACCAAGATTCTGAGATCTGACAATAAATTTATTGGAATATATTTGCTGTAAAGCGGAGAATATCCGGTTTATAGCCATAGGTTATGAGATTTCAGGTTTATATAGGAGTGAAATTCTCTGCCATGAAGATGAAGACAGTGGGTTCCTAAGAAACGTAAGTTCCTACCCATCAAACCAGACAGTGTCACGTACTAGAAGACAGTGATCTGAGAATACATCATTAGGATCGCATCCTCGTCTCATTCAGCGTTCAGTTTATAGTCTCTGAAACCAAATGATCGGAAAATCAATGAGTTGATCACAGCGGCCATAAATATGTATACTGGTTCAATGGCTCTTCCAGCCCATTCAGTGCCCTGGCCTCTTGTTCAGTTCCGTAACCCTATACACAGCCGGGAGGACTCCTTGGACGAGTGAGCAGCTCACAGCAAGGCCGCTACCTAAACACAGGACAATACAAACACAGAATAAACACACCCACACAGGCATCCATGCCACTGTGACCAGAGACCGTAGAGTAAGGCACGAAGTATCTTCTGGAACATTGGGATCGTGGGTTTAAATCTCACTCGGAGCATGGACATATGTCTGCGTTTATTCTGTTTGTGTTGTCGTGTGTAGGTAGCGGCTTTGTAGCAGAGCTCCCCTGTCCAAGCAGTCCTGCCAATTCTGAACATGACTGCCAAATCAGTCGGAATGGTGGGATGCTACTGCAGTGTCAATGTTCAGATAAGTAAAAAGAAAAAAGGTAAAGCTGTCCCTGTAACAGGCCGTGGAGGCCCATAGGGTTGTGAGAGGTTGAGGCTCCCACATTATCTAGACCAGCGATGGCCAACTGG